GGTGCAGGCCATGATGGACGCCTCCGTGATCGGCCACCAGGAGGGGCTTTGCTCCTATAAGCTTCTACAAATCTATTAGTGCCCTAAACCCGAAACCCCAAACCCCCAAACCCTAAACCCCAAAACCCGAAAACCCTAAACCCCTAAACTCTTTGGATCCAAGCCCTAAGCCCCAAAAGCCTCGGCGCAGCAGAAGGATGCCAAGACTCTGACGGCCTTCCTCCAGGATGCCCAGGTTGCGCGGGAGTTGTCAGTTTTTAGGAGGCCCCTGTTCTGGGTTCCACAAGGTTTCGGTTAAGGTTTTTATAGGGTTTCGGGTTTTTAGTTTTTAGGGTTTGAGGTTTTATGGGGGGTTTACAGAGGTCCCATAATCATGCAGTTTCGGGTCTGGGTTAAGGCTTCTTTGTTGTAATGGAGATTGGGCAGGCCAGTTAAGGTGCCTTCTGTAATGGGATTCCTATTCACAGGCCGGGCTGTAGTATAAACGCTCATGTAGAGGACACCCCTTGTTTTCTCCTTTAAACCCTGCGCGCAGGCGCCCGAGCCGGCGACCTATGTGTCGAAGACCGGCGGCGTCACCGAAATGCTGGAGGAGAACTCTTAGGGGTTGCGGCGTAGGGCGCAAGGGTTCAGGGATCGGGGATCGGGAGGATGAGTCTTTATGCAAGGGCTTAGGGTAGGGTATAAGGGTCTGGCATGAGAGGTTCGAAGGTTCACGAGTTGTAGCCATAACCATGAGGGAAGTCGTTGTCCACACCGACACGGCTTGTTTTCGGCTTTCATGAATCTCGTGTGAGCCCTTGTGTGCTGGTGATGTTATGCTCGCAGAGCCTAATAATTGACATGAGGCCCTACCAACAAGCCGGATGGAATAATTATCGCTTGACTTGGAAAGCCTCGCTCAGTTTGCGAGAGTGGCAGGCAACACGAGGGCTTGTACTGCTTGACGCTACAGGGTATCTTTAAACCCGCTAATCCCTAAGTATGCGACTAAACTAGACCTTAAGCCAGCAGTCCACCCGAACGGCCAGACCGTCTGCTCCGCAAGCCTCAAGCCTTAAACCCCGAGCCATCGACGTCCCAGCTTGGAGTGGATCTTGTGCTGCCGGGCCCGGCGGGCCCTGAGGTCATTCTCTTCGCAAGTCAGCGGCACCGATGCGGCATAGCACCCCCGAAGAACCGGAAGCCACTGTGAAGTACGTAGGTATGCATCCACCGCCTCTACCAATCCGAGTGATGATGATAATGAGTGTAGCACTTCGAGATTTTACCGGAAGGTAACAAAGGTTTTAGAGAACGCGTAACATTAGCAGAGAAGAACATAGCAAAAAGAAGTAGTCCAGCCAGCCTTGCTAGTCCCTGACAAGGACATGCTCGACAAGTCGAAAGATCAGCTCACCGAGTTGCGCAAGAAGGACACCTTGTTAATTGCACGATAGGGATCTCCAGCTTAACTAAGCGTGGCCACCATTGCTGAGGTTAGGGTATACCCTAAAACACTGGAGCATAAATTGTTTATATTATGGCGCTGAGCTTAACTATCCCCAAAGCCCCTGTACCGCGAAACCTGAAAACCTGTAGCCCCAACCCCAGAACCCCATCTTAATTCGAGAATACCAAACTTTCAGATACTTTTACGCTTACTGGGGCTCTCATGTCCCCGTACTTGTGTGAAAGTCTCAACTCTTGCTTATGGTAACCTGGTATCGGGGAAGCAAGCCTTACTTTTGTTGGGCTTGGGATCCTTGCATCCCGGCAACCAACGAGCCTAAACCTTGCGTGAACCCTCCGGGATCAAGTTTTTCGTTTGCAAAAGGGGTGTTCTAAAGTACGTATTCCCGCAAGCCGGAAAGGGTAAGGGGCTTCTATTTTTTGGGCCCCCAGGGGTGAGCCCTTGCTCCTTACAGTTCCTTGCACCCTTAAACCTTACTTAAAACCCTACTCTGTTAAGCACTCACACAGGACTTACTTGCAGTCTTCGCCAGCCCCCATGCAACCATCTGTAGACAAGGTATTGTGGCTTTGAGGTATGAGGCTCCACCGTTTAATGCATCTTGCTTCGGGTGTCGCTTTACCAGTGCTTCTTACAAGCGGCGGGGGGCAGGCGACGGGTTTCGATTTTCGACCAGTGACACATTGCACCACAGCAGCCACTTCCATCTCGAGCTTGTGTTGCAGGTTTTGGAAGAGGCCTCGTCGCCATTTGCCATTGCGGCGATTCCCGTCGTTGAGAGCTTCGGGCAGAGGCCTGCCTCGTCCGGTCCTCGCCACTTTCGCCATGGAGTACCCGCGGTATATGTCTGCTGAAGAGCTCCGGGCCGAGATCGAGGCCACGCGGCACAGGGCGGAAGCCGAGGAGGCGAGGCTCCAAGAGCTCCAGGCCGAGACCGAGCAGGCCCGCGAGCGGCTCAGGCTGCGGAACGAGTTGAGGGAGATGCGGGGCAGGCTGGCAGTCGCAGAGGAGCGCAACACAGACGAAATCGGGGCACGAGGTGACATTGACGAGGAGGACTTTTCGGAACCTGATCAGTTTGTGCCTGCCCCCCAAAGTCAACACATCATGCAAGCAACTGGCGGCGAAAGCGCGAATTTCGGAGATATGGTGGCTAAGGGAGAGTATGTGTGGAGAATCGAAGAGATTTCCTGGGTGCCATGCGCGCTCGAGCAGTTGCGTCAGGAGTGTGTGGCCTCGAGCTTTAATCTTGCCAGTCAGACATTCACTACAACCCGTGGGGAGGCTATCTGAGTGCGCGGCATCATGGGACCCTTGCCATAGAGCTTGAAACAAGTGAACGCATCGCACTTCGGTATCGCATCTACATCAAGGCACACAGCGGTGAGTTCGTGCCGTGGGGCGAGACGCGCGATGTTGTTCATCCGGGCGGAGTCGACGGGGCAGGCTGGCCGCAGGTTGGCGCCTACGGCCCGGATGTGCATTGGCCCGGGCATGCTCCTGCTTCTCTGGGCATCTTCGGGCTGAGCCATGAGGAGCTGTTGCACTCCGAGTGGGTGGAGAACGGCAACCTGACGGTGAAGTTCGTGCTGGAAGTCCGTCCTTTTCGACCCGCAAGAACGCAGCCCATATCGCTTGCTGCAGAGGTTCCCGAGCCTACGATGAGCCAAGACACAAAGGCGCTCTTGGAGGAAGGAAAGTGCAGCGACATTCGCTTTGTGGTGCAGGACGAGGTGATCCATGCGCACTCTCAGGTTCTTTGTGCACGCGCCGAGGTGTTCAGCAAGCAGCTGACGGCCGGCATGCAGGAGAGCGTCTCGAAAGTCATCGTTATCGAGGACTGTGATGTCGCCACCTTCAAAACCTTCCTACAGTTCCTCTACACCGATCACTTGCCGGATGCCCAACCCCAGCTGTCCCAGATTCAGGCGCTCTTGGCCGTGAGTCACAAGTATCAGGTCAAGAGGCTTCAGCTGTGGTGTGAAGCGAAGCTTTCCGAACACATCGACACCTCACAAATCTCTGCCATCCTCTGCCAAGCGCATCTGCTTCAGGCGAAGCAGCTCGAGAAGGCTTGCCTCGCCTTTATCAGAGATCATCCTGGCCAGGTGCTCACATTGCCAGCCTATGTTGACTTGGTCAAGAAGTGGCCTCAGATCGGCTTGAAAGTCCACCTCTTCTCGGCCGGGGTGTCGGAAGCAGAGGCTCAAGATGCCATCGACGCCTTGGAAAAGCCACAGCACCAGGGCCCCGAGCAGCCGACTCAGTGAGAGCAGGGAGAGCCCAGGGAGCAGTCAGGGGGCCCTGAGGCTCCGAAGTACTTAGGGGCTGAGTAGCTAACCTTTAGCCTTTTGGGGCCTATGGGATCCTATTATTCAAGAGTGCAACCTGTATTGATCTAGGGTACTCAGCCCCTAAGAGTATGAACCCGCAGGTGCTTAGGGGCTGTATGGAGCCGCACGGCCGGCCCGTACCACGCTAAGCACCGTTGATGCACTTCTGAAGCTTTAGGAGTTGAGAGCGAGCCAAAAGAGCTGCGACTAGAGACATGATCAGAGCTGAAAGACCCAACTTTGAAGGAGCTGCTATTATTATTATTATCATTATTATTATTATTGTTATTATTAGTATCATTATTGCCTCATTGCTATTACTATTCTTCTTCTTATTACTTGTAGTGTTACTATTGCTATTACTGTGCTATTCCGTTAATTGTTGTTATTATTTCTATTGCTATTACTATTCTTCTTATTTTGTTAGTGTTCTTTTTTTCCGAGCTCGATTGTTGGGACGGGTGAGGCCTCCGTGCCTTGGACCTGCAGTTTCTTCGTCACTGGCCCGAAATCTTGAATCTCAGACAGAAGGAACCCTTGAAGACGACTCCCTGCAGAACCCCTGCTCGACCCCCTTATAGAAAATTTCCTAGACTCCTTAAAACCCTAAACCCTAAACCCTGATCGACCCCTTATAGAATCCTTCCTAGAGCTCCTTATAGGAATTCCCTCTGACCCTAAACCCTAAACCCTAAACCATTATAGAAGACTTCCTAGACTCCTTAGAACCCTAAACCCTAAACCCTTATAGAAGACTTCCTAGACTCCTTCTAGGAATTCCCTGTGACCCGAAAGCTCCCAGGAGACGGAGGCCAAGCACAGCTTCGAGATGGTCTCGCAGTCCTTGGCCGACGAGACTTGGCTCAGGGGTGAGGGTCGAAGGGCTTTAAATATAGGAGCCTACATAATATTTTTTGGGGTTCCTTCTCATAGATATGGTAGAATGGGGCCCCGAAACCTTATTCAGGGTTGAGGGGTTTTCGGTTTAAGGGTTTAGGGTTTAGAGTTTAGTGTTTAGAGTTTCTGGTTGAGAGTTCAGGGCGCTCAAAAATCCGCATAAAGCACTCGAAGAAGCCTTTAAGGCCCTAAAGACTTGGAGAAGAGAGACATAAAGGGACCTGACAGGCATTTAGGGTTCCTGTCCTCGGGCACTCTCGGGAAATGAGGAGATCAAGTTCGCCAAGGCGGCAATGGAGAAGGTGCGGCCGACCGGTGTTTTTTCTTATTATTCAGGTGATTGTAGTCTGTAGCTGCTTTTTTGTATTGGGTACGGTGGGTTTCGCAGGGCGCATACCCTTTTTTGATATGAGGGCTTTGTAAACGTTCGTGCAGGGTTTGGGGTTTGAGATTCAGGGCTGGCGCCTCGGTTCCTGGCATATGCATAGCCCAGGTGTAAGCAAGATGCAGGGTTATAGGTTTCAGCATTGTATGTCCCAGAAAAAGTAACAGTAATCTCTCAACTCGAAGGCTCAGTGACTCAGTTCCCCTGTCTTAGGCTTGAAACCCCCTTGCCAGAACTCTGAAAGCACCTGCTAGAAACCACTATGACGCCCGTCGGCTTGTGTTTCGGGGGAAATTCTGCTGTCCCTTGGACAGCTTCAGAATTTGCGGCTCAAGGTTAGGCTTTAGAGCCCATCGTCCTGAAGCCTACACTGGGAGAAGTTTTAGGGTTTAGAGTTTAGGGTTTAGGTTTTAGGTAGGGTCATCTCGTCGCTGTGAGGCCAAGAAGAGTCAGGCTGACCAGTCGCGCATCAAAGCTGAGTCGGAGAAGGATCTGCAACAGACGACACGCAGAGCCCACTTAGTTTGGGGTCGAGACTCTGGGGCTTTCTGGGCTCCGTGGCAAGGCAGCTAGGCCGCTAGGCGGGTTCAGGGTTCAGAAGTTGGTAAAGTTGAGGCGCATGGGTACCGTTTTCATATATAGCTTGCCGCGGATCCAAGGGGTCGCGAAGCCCCGGCGCCTCAACGGTGAAATGTTGTAATATGAACAATGACATGCCTGGACTCCAGATGCTGTTGGCGTGGTGTCTGCGCGTGAGCCCGCTGCGCCTTATTAAGGGAATGTACTTTGCAGCAAAGCGCGATGTCCCGTGTAGTTTAACGTGTTTAGGGATGTCGAGCTCTCTGGAACTTCAAGTTTCCCTTGGCAGCGCACGACGTCATACCGACCTGAAACTCAAGCCCAGCCTTGACCAGAGCAACGTTGAGATTCAAGTTTCCTACTCTGCGTAGGCGCAGCCAAGGAAGATTTCCATGGAGCAGGATCGAAAGTCCCTGAGTGACGTGACCATGGACTGCAAGCAGGAGGCAGCACTGAATCCCAAATAGCCCTCGGAAGGACAGTTGGTCTCGGGTTCCTTGCTGATGCCCCGACCTGTGCCCCATGTACTCGCAATACCTGTCCCCAACGTATTCATGAGGAAGGTTCGTGCGAGATCTTCCTCCATCTGAGTGTATTCTGACGCGTCCCGGCTCCAGGAAAAGGCTTAGAACAAGAACGCATCATCTGAAACCCTGTCTTCACCTTTGCCCCGAAGCCCTGAAACCCTAAAACCTCAACTCCTGAAGCCCTGTAAACCCTGAATCACTGTCCGTGCAGTGCGGCTCATTCAGCCAGACCTCCTTGTAAACTTACGTCCTGCAGGCAACCGTGACATTCCTAAAACCCTAGACTAAAGAGGCGGCAGGCAAAGAAAGCAATTGCAAATCCCTACTGTAGGAACCTGATTAAGAAACCTTTATTAGGGTTCTTAATATGAATCTGAATCCGAATAAAATGGAGTTATAGGGCCAGGTTTGCTTTATCAGGTTCTTACATTACAACCCTAACCACTAAACCCTAAACCCTAAACCCGAAGCCCTAAACCGGAAACCCGAAAGCATTGACTCCCGCAGCCGGTCCCAACGACAGGCCGCCGACTACCACGAGGAGACGAAGAGCCGTGGCCTCGAACTCGAGGCGCTCGCCGCAGCGAAGGCCGCGCTGCCGCTGGGCCGGGAGGTTTCGAGATGTTTTTTGAGGAAGAAAACGTGGCTGTAAGGTGTAGGAATTGGGGATGTGCGGCCTTGGGGTTCATGGGGTACATGTTTTTGGATTTAGTTCGAATGATTTTGGAGCAGGTTTGGGGATTTAGCTTCGGCTTCGGGACCCATAGAACCCCCTCCTTTGGGCCCTAGTCTAACTTGATCAGCCTCATGGATCATGGCATTGATTGGGTTGGAAGTCACGGATACTCAAAGCAGGTTTCCGACTCAAGGAGAGGGGTGTTTTAACCTCACGCCCCACGCAGTGTTCAGAGGAGATGTCTCCGGTTATGAGGTTATTCGCATGGTAGAGCTTTAGGAGTTTGGGCTTTCAACCGTTCAGGGCTGGTGTTTTTTTGACCTCAAGTGTAGCGACTATCATGACCTCAAGTGTAGCGACTATCATCGACCGTGGAAGCTTGAATCCTGACGAGCACAATCCACCCTACTATTCACGGTTTACATGTGGGTTCGTTACTTCCTGAACAGCGTTCTAGCTTCGTAAAGGCTCCGATACGTTTACCCCAAGACTGGGACCTGATGAAGCCGAGATTTCAGGGTCCAAGTGTTGAGTCTTATGGTGATTTACCCCTGCCTTAAAACAGGGGCCTTAAAACTTCGAATAGGGTTTTATGGGGAGGTGTTATAGGCTGAATATAGCAATCCCTAGACCCTAAACCCTACAAACCTTAAACCCTAAACCCGAAACCCTAAAACCCCAAAACCCTCAACCCATCAAACCCTATAAACCCTATAAAGCCCCAAATTCTAAACCCTAAAACCTTAAGTATCCTCAACCCTCAGCAGACGCTGCAAAAAAGGGGGACTTCCTCCCTGGGGGTTTTGGAGCCTCGGGGCCCTCGGGCTAAGTGTGGGATGACGAGGGCTGCCAGGTCTTGGGTTGGACGCTTTGGGGCCTTTTTTTTTTTGGTGTGTTTAGGGCTTAGGGAGTTTAGGGTTTAGGGTTTGGGGTTTAGGGGTTTAGGTTTAGAGCTTAGGTAGTTTAGGGTTTCGGGTTTAGGGTTTAGGTAGTTTAGGGGTTTCGGGTTTGGGGTTTAGAGTTTGGGGTTTCGGGTTTAGGGAGTTTAGGGGTTTCGGGTTTAGGTAGTTTAGGGGTTTCGGGTTTAGGTTTTAGGTGGCTTAGGGGTTAGGGTTTAGCTTTAGGGTTTGGGGTTGAAGCCTCATCCACCCAAGCCAGAGCTGCAAATGCGTGAACTGGGTTTCCTGAAGAATCATTGTTCAGGTATCAGCTTAGTACAAATTCTGTTTTTTGGTTGTAAGGCTTCTAAGGTACGTAGAGCATTTCATGGAAAACCCGATGCCCCAAACCGAAAGCCTACCTTGCATTTGCTTGCACTGCCTGGCCAGCTAAGGGCGGAGTCCTCCGGACTTTCCTTTTTGCAGCTGGTGTCCAAGTCCAACATCAAGAGCAGCGAGGAGTCTTTAATGGCTTCGGGTCTCAGCAAGTCTCCGTATTCCGGTGTTGGATGTAGGGTGTAGGAAGCAGGGCTCAGGTTAGGTTCAGGTTCTGGAATTTGGGGTTTTATATAATTATAAGAGATTGTGGAGTCGTCGCTGTAACTAGCATCTTTGGATAAGCAGTTCAGGTTCTAGGATTGCGAGTTTTCTAGCCTTTTCAATTTAGAGTGGAATGGAGGACCTCAAGCACTTCGAAGTGGTCCACATGCTGCGCAATCTCGGCCAGAAGTTGGGGGATCATCAGCTGGTTCTCCTCAGCCGGCGCATGGACGGGACCGAGCGCAGGGTCAATGGGTTTGCGATGGACTCAGCTTTGGAGTGCAGGGCGCAACATTGAATCGAAGTTCAAGTTATAGATCGCGATGATGATGATGATGGTGGTGAAGATGAAGTCGTGAAGGTGATCTGTATGACTCAATAGTCAGGGCAGGTGGATTCAGGCCCTGTGAGGGTGCTTCATCTTTTGTACCACGAAAGGTTCCGGGCTTCCATCAGCCGTGTCCCCAACTCTTCTCGGGGGACCTTAAGCTAAACGGCCTACAGTAGACCTGAACTGCAAGCCTCATGTCGTTGAGTGTCATAGAAGAGGATGTTGCGCACGGAATCCGGGGCCGATGTCTTCTCCAAGATCAAGACGATGATCACGGACATGAGCCTTGCACTGTATCACCATATGATCGGGTTACCAGCATCAAAGTTGTGCACCCGACGAAACCTAGGGCCCACCATACCAGCCCTAGCCTAAACTCTTTCAGACCGCCCTTCGCCCGGCTACCCTCAACCCCAGGTCCTCAAGGCCTGAACTCCGAAACTCTAAAAGCCTTGTAACGCCCGGATGCCCTGCACCCTAAGCTCCAGGCCCCCCAGAAGCCCAAAAGTGTCTGTAGGGTCCTTGTAAGAGCTCCTTCAGTATAGGGTCTCCTTTCTGGGGTCTAAAGGGGTCCTTCCCTCAAAAACCTACACCTTAAACCCAGAGTTCAAAGAAAAAAATTAAAACCCTAGCTGAACACGAAAAAGGAGTTCAACAAAGAAACCCTTAAACTAACCCTGGCTGAAGGCGCAAGTTTTGGGACCCAAGGCCCTTCCCAAGATCAGGAAGCCTGAAGGCACGAGAAGCCCACGACCTCTTAACACCCGGCAATCCCGGAGGGGTGGAAGGCTCAGGGTTGGGTTTTTTAGCTAGGTTTCAGAGTGTCGGGTTTGGGGGTTTTAGAGTTTTAGGTTTTGGATTTCAGGGCTTTAGGCAATTCAGGTTGTGGTGCTTTAGAGTTGAGGGCTAAACACCTGGACAATGGAGCCTAAACCTCGAACAGCGGAGCACCCAGGATCACCACCATGAAGGAGAACTTGCAGGCGGAGGCTACCAAGAAGGCTTACTGTGACAAGGCGTGGGGGGTTTGCAGGGAAGAGCTAGTATTGTGAAGAGGATGATGTCATAGCCGGTTCCAGTTGCATTTGTGGAGCCCTGGTGTGCTATATATTATAGTGGTGGGTGCTGAGGTGGGGTTGGTGGTCGTAGTTTTGGTAGCGTTGCTCCCTGAAGCCTGAAACCTTGAGCCCCCAAAATCCATCACCCTAAACTCTAAACCCTAAACCCTATCAGGAGATGGGTGAGGCGGCCGAGAAGAAGGCCGGTAAAGAGGCAGACCTTGACGACGCCGGGTTATTGTTAAAGGATTTAATTTAAGTTACCACAATAATGATCTATAGTAAATAGTGGAGTTTTGCCTTATTATGATAACTTAAATTAAAATAAATTCACTTAACAAGAACCCAGGATGTGAGCACCAAGATCGATGCCACAGCCTCGAAGTCCGCATCCCTGAAGCTTGGCCTCTGTGCGTCTTTTTGTGTTTAGGGTTTAGGGTTTAGGGCTCAGGGTGTAGGGTTTAGGGTTTAGGGTGTAGGGTTTAGGGTTTAGGGTTTAGGTGTTTGCGGCTGCGCCGTTTCAGGGGTGCGCATCAGAGCTTTTTGGCCTCAGAACCCCTGCCTAGACCTAGCCGTTATATACACCCTGAGCCGGATGGCCCAGCTGGAAAGCTGGAGCTCTTTTTTGGGGCTTAAGGTGTCGAGGTGTGGGTTTCGGGGTTTAGGTTTCGGGAGGAAGGCCTTGCTTTCGCACTTGCGTCGAGGTCCAGGGTCGCCTTTTTTTTGCGTTGGAGCGTTTTGGGGCTGTGGGTGAAGCAGGGTTTGGAAGGGCGCCTCGTCACCCGAATCTAGAGGTCCAAAGCTCTGAATAATCATACAGAGGATGCCACAGCCACGAGGTTTGCCAACAGCAAGACCTACAGCAACCAGAAGCTGACGACCAAGAAGATCCTGGGGTCCTAATGTAGGAACTTGACTAAAACCCCCATTTTACTAGAATGTATATATTAAGAACCCTAATAAAGACCCAGGGTTTCTTAATCAGGTTCCTACATTACTCCGCCGAACCATCAAGGCCCTCAGCCCTTGAATCCGCAAAACCCCCTAAACCATGAAGCTTCTAAGCCCTGTGCGTGGAACTCCTGTATAGCCCTTAAATCTTAAATCCCTGCAGCCGACGACGGCCCCTATGAAAACAACGAGAAACCTTGTACAACCGTCGGAAGACCCAACAAGATGTCGTGAACGCCCTCTAAACCCTGTAGCCACCTTCTAAGAAAGCACTAGGAACACCCACTCTACTACCTAAGCCCCCTCCTTACCGACACTCTAGAAGCACAAACAATTACCAACACGTTTCCTTAGGGCTCCTGATCATAACTATAATTATACTAGGATGTACCTAATTACAATAATACTCGAATGTACCCTGAAACCCAATTCTAATTAACGCCCTACAGTACGGTAACCCATGAGCCGCCAAGGAAGAAGCAGGCGGGAGCGTCCGGCTGTTTTCCTTACCCGACCCCTACTTGAAGGTCTTGGTCTACATAGAGTTCTACATATCTTATGAGTAGGTTCGTATTTGGGATATGGGTAATTATTTCGGGTACTTCTATCTCTACATTTAAGCTACATTCCATGTTCATTGAGCTTTTCAAGAAAACAACAAATTAGCCACTGAGAGATTGTCTGTCATGAGTCACATGAGTGTTACTGCTATACTGGCGGGTATGGTAATGAGTGTGACTGTCGATGAAGTGGGCTTTCGCAGTTACCCGTAGTTACAATGTTACAATGCAGCCAGGCGGGAGTTTCAGAAACCAGGTTACCTTGTTTGAGTGGTTCTTATATGAAGGAGTTTGCTCTTTCCTTTCAGGTTGACTACTGTATTGGGACCCTAAACCCTATAAATCCTAAACCACTCACTTTAGCTCAAGCATGAACTCTGTCGGCACAAGCTGCAGATACTCCTGAAAAGTTCGGTGAGAGCTCCCTCGGTGCCCACGGATTGGCCCGTGGGCTGCCTTGGCGAGGCAGGCGGAATTCTTGCACGCTTCACGACTGCGCTGCAGCACCCTCCGTTTGGGGAGTGAGGAAATCGCCATAGCATTCAATGGCCGGCGGCTGGGCGACCAGCACCACCAAGTCCTTTGCTGCCCCGCGTCATGTTAACTTGGGGCTGCACAGGTTCCTGCACGTTGGCTGGTGGTGATGGTGAAAGAGCGGGTGTGCGGGCGACAGTTGTCGCCGGCCAGAGACCTTTACCTGGGAGATTCTGGGAACCCTGGCACGACGATTTGTGTGCCCCCATGGCGAAGCACCGCCCGCGCATCGTCCTGAGCAGTGTGGGATCTAGCTCGTCGGCCCGCGAGACTCGGGGTCTCTGGCTGGGTCTATCCTATCTGTAGAAAGAAGGTGGGAAGCAGAGATTTTTCATACCGATGAAGCAGTATCCTAGTTGCAACCCCAAAGATACATGCCTTGCCCAGCCCAACATCCGAGCACCTTATCCTTCAATGTATGATGGGCTCTATAGTATAGTCGCAGGTAAATTGCTTGACTAACGGGTTTTCGATGTTGCTTGATTGACGGGTTTTCCTTTGGGTATAGTAAGTTTCGAAGCCCTACAACCCTGAACGCTGAACACCTGTACCCTACAACTCTAAATTGCGGGAACCCTGACAACCTAAGGCCATTGCAGCTCCTTGACAGGAACCTTGTGACTTTTATTGCACCCTATCAAGCCTCATACAAGCTTATGAGGTCTATGAAGCCACATAAAAAAAGCCCATGGCTCCTTGTAGCACCCTATCAAGCCAGCCTATGAATCTATCCTAAACCCTAAAACCCTAAACCCTAAACCTATGAAGCCGCATACAAAAATGCCCCCATGGCTCCAGGTGGTGGCCATAAAGTCTGAGCTGACCACGCTGGCGGAGACCCAGGCAAACATGACTGCGCTGCGCCAGGAGGACCTTCAGTTTCGGTTCCTTTCGCATATGTGTATATAGTACATATGATATGGTGCTTGTCGGAGAGATTTCTTAGAAAATTTTCCGGGCTCTTACATCGGGCCTGCATGGCTTCCGATGCTTTGGGGTCTCGGGGTCCTCGTCGAACTCCAGGGCCGAGGTCACACCCCCGTGAGCCTTGAGCTCCAGTTTGCTCCACCTTCTAAATCGGCCGAAGCCGAGTGATTCGGTGTGAAGCGTTTGGGGTGGTTTAGGCTCAGGCTGTGGTGTTTTGCGGGAAGTTGTGGTGAGCGTGGAGCTCTTTGCAGGCGTTCCTGAGCTGCTGGGTGGTGTAATGGTCTCTGCAGTTGCTGTGGTGTTCAGGGCTTTTGTGGCAATAGTGATCGGAGTAGGGAAGCCCGCACAATATCATGTGCCCACACCTTATAAGTAGCCCTCATATTCTGTAGCTGATTCGGTTCCCTCTTGCTGGGTTCGCCTCTTGAGAGTTACCCTCCCGAACCCTTAACCTCATTCAAAATTCCTCACTTGGTATGAAGTGCCCTAAACCCTAAACCTTAAACCCTAAGCCCTAAACCCTAAATGTAGGTCTGATCGAGGCTGCTTCGATTCGGGAGAAGTCCCGACTCCCGCTGCCTCTACACCGCTACACCGGCCGAACCCCGACAACCTAAACCCAAGGCCCAACACCCTGAACTCTCCTAGGTAGTATTAGGGAGACCCCTTAAAGGGGGACCCTTCCGAACCCTGCCCGACTTCTGGCTCTCTTAAAAGGGACCTTATTGACAGGGTCTTTATCCCCAAGGGTCCCAACTCCCATGAACTCTAAACCCCGACTGCTCGAAGCAATTCTCATGGGAGGAGACCTCTCTCTTCAAGACGAAGGAGTTGGGATGGGAGGTATTGCTTCGCCTAGCTGGTTTAGGGCTTCAGACTTTCATGTTCGGGCTTTCATTTCAGAGCCGTTTTTTGTCAGGTGATTTGGGGCTTCGAGATGCGGGTTCGGGTCGGTATACCCTACACCCCAAACCCTAAATCTTGCGCTTGCAAAGCCGGCTTAAACGCTTTGGGGCTTAGGCCTTGTCAGGCTCGTCAATCAAAGTTTGTCGTGGTAACCTCAGGTAGAGTGCACAATTCGGACTTGGAATCCTACTGAGGTTCCAGATCAGAATGTAAATGGCCCCTGATGAACACATCCGCGTCTGTCTATGCCATATAAAATAAGTAGCTGCATGCCTTTTCAAATGGTAGTATGCTTCTTAAAAAAAAGTGTTCCCTAAACCCTAAACCCTCATTAAAAAAGTATTCCCTAAACCCTAAACCCTCATTAAAAAAAGTATTCCCTAAACCCTAAACCCTAAACCCTCATTTAAAAAAGTTTCACCCCCTCCCCCCCTGTATGTGCCAAAGCGTCCTAGGAGCCGGAGACGGTGACGGGCATGGAGGGAGTGAAGTCCGCGCTGAAGGCCCTGCGCGACTTCTACAAGAGCCCATGGCGCAAGTTAGGGTTTGGTAGGGTGTAGGGTTTCGAGCACAAAGGGTTTAGGGCTTATAAGGGTTTGAGGTTTAGGGTTTATAGGGCTTAGGGCAAAAAGGGGTTTAGGCGGTTTTATTGTGCAGCAGTTACATGGGGACTATTGGGGATTCGTGTTTCTACAGTACACCCGAAACAGTAGGATTGCTGATGTAAGCTAGAGCCTTGATAGTTTCATGAGCTGGATGTAAAGCTTTAGGGTTCTGAGTTTCACGACGACGACAAGAACACCAGCAGCAACAACATCCAGGGCTGCTCCTCCGCCTCCTTCGCCCAATTACAGCTTCCCCTACTGCTGCTGCTACTGCCCCTGCTTCTAACAATAATACGAACACGAATACGAGTACAAGCAAAAACACTTGGGCGATTACAAATGCTAATGCCACTCCTACCCCAGCACCCCCGAGATGATTGTGCCTTAGACTCAAGCGATGCCGGCCTCTTTTTAGTGTGAAGCTACGTGCGTTCTTATAGTGCGCACCTTGTTGCTTTAGCATGTTTAGTTGTAGCGCCAGCTGGTGAGAGGGTGGTGCGTCACATCAAAGCGACTGAACCTTCACATTTTCCATTTTCTGAAAGCCTCTGAGGCGCAACTTGTCATGCTCCAAACTCTTGGGCACCAGTATAACCGCCTCCAGAAACTCAGCTCACCGAGGAACTCCGGCATCAAGGTCACCAGTGGCGAGCGTGAGGGTGCCGCCGGTGGCGTGATCGGACGTCTCGAGGATGTCGAGGCCGACATGAGCAACGACAGTGGCAACAATTTCTAAACCCTGAGCCCTAAACCCTAAACCCCTAAACACTAAGAAGGAGAATCAGGGGATGTAGCCCGAACCTCCAAGCTCGAAGACCTCCACCCAGCAAAAAACCATGCAAGCTCGACAGATCCCCATCAGCAGATTAGCACGTTAATGGGGGATAAACAGGGCTGTAAGGGTTTCGGGTTTGTTATGTGAGAGCTACTAGGGTGGCTCCTGAAGCCTTCACGAGACCCAAGCTGTACCTAATCGCCAAGACTTCCTGCAATGCCTATTTAAAGCCTAACCAAAAAGCCAACTATAAATTTTAACCCCTGCACAAAAAGCCGAAATCGCGGAGGCAGACATGGCCATGAGCCTCTCTCAGATGCGCGCGCCGGAGAAGACGGCGCAGATGAACTACGAGCGGGACACCCAGGAGCCTTGGAGCCTGATTTTTCTGATTTTGGTCCTTTAGGGTTTCAAGGTTTTAGGACTTAGGGCAGCTTGGAGGCACTTCAGAGAGACCTCGTTCAAAAAGGACTTAGGGTATTTTGGTCCTTTAGGGTTTAGGGTTTAGGGTTTAGGGTATTTTGGTCCTTTAGGGTTTAGGGTTTAGGACTTAAGATATTTTGGTCCTTTAGGGTTGAGGGTTTAGGACTTAGGGTATTTGTGGTCCTAATTTTTGTCTTCAGGTGGGATTTCATGCTTCGGGCTGAGGGAGTTTAGGGTTGAGGATGGTGTAGGGTTGCTTCATAAGGGCTGCCAGAAGGGGTGCTGTCAACGGTTTAGGGAGTTTCGGGGTTCAGGGCGCAGCGCTGAAGAAGTGTAGCGCTCAGGTGGGTTTTCTGGGGTTTAGATTTTAGGAGCGTTGAAATTGTCTGGGAGTTTCTGGGGGGTCATTTTCAGTTTTAATATATGGGGCTTCGGCATTGGGTGTGATACGTCTTAAACCCGAAGCCCTAACCCCTACACCGTGATATGTGCTTGTGTTTTGAGGTAGTGTCTAGTGCTTGTGATACCAACAACTCCACAACGAGAATGTTTCGCTTGGCACATTCTCGGAAACTATTTCGGAATCATACCTCTAAACCCTAAACCCTGATACAATTCCCAACATTCCATCCCCTAGGGCCTTCCTTGTCATATGGAAACGATAATCCACCCGAAACCCCATTTATGACCGCCCCTATAACTAAAGGACCTTGGAGCAGTGAGGTCGGTGCCTGCAGGCAGGATGGCGAAAGAGCAGCTGACATTGTAAGTACATCCTCGGCCCAAACCCGCCAACCTTAAACCTATTGGGATCCACCCCGAGTCTCGGGGAGGTGCCTTGTCTAATCCGGTCTGTATACCCTAGCCCTAAACCCTCAACCCGAAACACTAAACCCTGCTTCAAGCTGAGGACATGAAGCTTGAGAAGACCCAGAAGGAGAAGGAGCTCCGTTTGTTTTAGGGCTTTGAGGCATTTGGGGGCCTGGGGGTTTAGCATGTAGGGAATTTCGGGGTTTGCGGGGTTCGGAGTTTGAGGTTCCTTCAGGTATTTGGGTTTCAGGGCGTCAGGGTTGGTGGTTTTGGGAGGACGGGTTTCTCCATCCATGACACCCCATTCCTTCAAAGGGTAAGGCTTAGATGGGGGTGTGTGCTTTCGATGTTCGGGTTCAGTTAGGGATTATCCATCCTGCACCGTTTCTGTTTTTTACTTGGGGGCTTCAAAGGACTAGGATATACTGTGACTTCAACTGCATAAGCCGTAGACCTTGAAATGGCGTCGATCAGGAGCTCCCCCCAAAAAAACGCGCCAACCCAGCTAAGCGCCCCAGAGCCTCGAATCTTCCAAATCCCAGACCTTAACCTTCAAACCTCCTCACCCTAAACCCTAAATCCCTAAACCCTAAACCCTAAACCCTTGAAGCCCTATGAAAGGACATCGACTACAAGACTGCTGAAGCTCAGCGCCTGGACTCAGAGCTCACGGAGCTGAACTCCGACCAGGAGAGCATGCAGCCGCGCAGCTGCAAGCATATTATTGCTTGTTATTGCCTGTTTTATTCTTACGATGGTCCCTCACATTCAGTTCCTCAGCAGCTTACTGTATACTATCAGTCTTTCCTACCTACGATATGTTAGGTCCTTTTAGGCTGAAAACGAGCCAGCAACTAGCGGTGGAAGTCTGCAATCTGCCCTCGGCTTTCGGGATTTCTTCTCGGATCCGCCACTGGCAGTGCTTGCCTAAAGAGTAAGGGGACCAAGGACATCGGTAATAATCAGTATATGTTTCCTGACAGGGAGCCATGAGGGATTTTTTTGGCATTGGGGTTGAGGGTTTTGAGGCTCAGGCGACGTTGCAAACAGGTTTCAGTGGTCTCTAGCTAGGTTAGGATAATCTCAACTAGGGTCCTTGTAAGCATAAGCTTCTTCCCCAGCACCCTGAGCCTCTAAGCAGCTCTAAATTTTGTGAGTGCACCCAGGGCCCCCCTGGACCCCCAAAGAGGCCAATAAAGCCCTCAAGAGAATATCAGAAGTCCCAAGAATCCCCACAGAGCATCCTAAACCACTAAACCCTACACTCTGATAGAGGCCTAAACACTTATAGAACCCCACTTCAAGGACGAGTTTTCCTGCGCTAAGGACCGAGATGGGTGCCATTCTCGAGTTCACCAAGGAAAGCTTCATAGGGCTTTTTGCAGGGGTTGATAGACTGTTGCAGGGGGGGTTTGGTTGGGTTCTTAGCGATTTTTTATATGATTCGATCATTCTGCAGAAGTCTTCGGGTTTGAGAGCGTTGAAGATGGTTGTAGGGCTCGGGGAGGCTTTGCGGCTTTCATTCAAGGGTCTAGTTAAAGGCTGCGGCATTGGAATGTTGAACCGAAGTTTTGGGTTCCAGAATGTGGGGCTTACAGTGTTCTTATGGATTCAGGGAGCTTTGGATTTCAGAAGGGGCTTTGGGTTCTTAGGGCTTTAGCTTTCACCAGGAAGTTTTAGGTTTTGCGAGTATAGGGTTTAAGTTTAGGTCTTACGGTTTTGGTTCTAGGGGGAGCTTTAGTGTGTCAGCTGTAGGGTACGGAGTAGTTGGTAGGGTAGTTGGATTACTTATTGGGGGGCATATATCGCTTATTGGAGTTCTTTCATGGATCTAGGGCCTTTACATGTGCTGGATGTTGAGGGCTTCGTTTGGGGTGGTATATCTGTGGGGAACCCACTGTTTCGGGGTGCGTGCTGGGGATGACGGGTCGCTGTGGAGACCCAAAGAGAGGACACATAGAGTGACGGCGACCCACCACCAATTGTAGCAAACGTGTTTTTTTAGCCGGTCTTTGCAGAGACCCTCTGCTGCCTCAGCCGGACGTTCTTTGCCATGTCCGTCGGATAGATGGGAGCTTGACAACTGGATACGCGTTGTGCTGTTCATTCTGCAACTGCGGGGTATTCCAGACCTCCGTTGAGAGGTGCCTTTGCCTGGCGGAGCCCAAAGTATAGGGCCGAAAGCCTTAACCCAAAATGCCAAGAGCCAACTTCTCAAGCACAAGGCTCGAACCCAAAACCGCAAATCCGAATCCAAAAGCTTGAGCTCTTAAAGCCTCAAATCCACACCCCGCTTCCCCCAAACCTCCGTCGCCTTATCCAGGGACTGGAAGCCGAATGCCTCGTCACCCCTGAGTCGTTCGCGGAGAAGCACCTAGGCTGTATCCCTTCCCCCCTAGTTTGGGTTTAGGGTTTAGGGTTTAAGGCTGTATCCCTCCCGCCAAGTTTGGGGTCTGAGGGATCAGGATTTGGGGGCTTAAGGTGCACCGACTGATGTTGGGCTTTGCAATACGTGGAAGGTCTTTAGATTAGAGCAAGAATCGTAGATACGAGACAGTGGGAGCACGGGGTTTCAGCATGTAGAGGTTTTCGGTTCAGGGACTTACGTCTTTTTGAGTGGTGCCCGAGCGATTTTGAGATTCAACGGCCGCATGGCGACATGCTTCAGGCTGCATGGATCCCAAAGCCCTCAACCTTCTAATATAGGGGCCAAATAATTACCTATACTACTTTGGTGTTCCTTATTATAAGTGTAGTATAGCTACCCCAAAACCCTATTCTAATTATTAAGGCCCCTACACTAGTTGCATGGGCAGTTCGGGTATGTGATTATTGGGGGACCTGAAAGCGACAGAGAGAGAGGGAGAGAGAGAGAGAGAGAGGGACAGAGAGAGAGAGAGAGAGAGAGAAAGCTTAAACCCTGACCCGCTAAACCGCTACTGTAAGTCCGAGTGCCGGGGGGCCTGAGAGCCCTAAGCCCTATCCTCTGCAACAGCCTAAGGCTTGTGGCAGTTGTTGTGTTTCATGGGACCCTCCTGTAGAACCTAAGCACACTGAAATGAGCCACCCCGCTCCCCCAGTGTCGCTGACTCGGAGGCGACTTGGGGCTACCTTTAAGGGTACCTACACGCAGGAATTCGGTGAGGTTTAGGGTTTGGGGCTCCATGCATTCGGGTTCTGACGGTTTGCAGTTTGCTGGTCTATGTGTTTGGGGTCGATGGAGGATTTAGGGCTTGCGGGGTGGGGTTAGGTCTATTATGTAGGGTCTTGGGGTGCCCAAGAAAGGGCATCCGGGACATGTTCAATGTTTTACGTTGAGGCCAACTGTGCGGCTGACGCAAAGGCTCCGAAAGATATGATGACTGAAGATGCGTGGTGGTATAGGCATAGGATGTAGGGCTTAGGGAAACTGTGAGTCTACAATTCGTTTACCAGCCAAGTGTCATGATTCAGCATCTAACACTGCAGGTGGATGCTAAGGTGTTCAGTTAAGAGGCTGCTAGAACCCAAAGGCCCTAAACCGCAAACCCAAACCCTAACCCCGCAACCTTTTTTGGTAACCCCTTATAAGGGCCCCCGAAGAAGACTTCACAACGGCCTCAATCCCCCCACAGTCTCCCCAGGCAAGCGAAGCGCCAGCAGGAGATTGATGGCTTGAAGGAGGCCCTCACTGCTCTGGATGCCACTTGGCTGCTGTTTTTTTTCGCTGGTTTTCGCGTTTCGCGCTGTGATTTCGGACTAGGACTTTTAAGGCTTCCTTGTATGTTTTATTTTAAATGCCTTTTCGGGGGGTTTGGTTTAGACATTTCTAAGCTGCCAGTGCCTATGGGGCTGTTCGGGACGTGGGTTGGTTGGATGCTGTGAAGAGGTTGCTGTTCTTATGGGGATTCTTCACCAGCCCCTGGGGTTCAGGGTTTAGAATTTAGAAGACAGGCTGGTCTCCCTCACAAACTTTATTGAAGCTGGAAGCTTAAGGTGGTTTGGGGGCTGTCGTTTCCTCCCATGGGACCGTTACGTTACGTGTCCGAAACCCTGAACCAAACTCAAAAGCCCTAAACCCTAAACCCAAGACTGAAATACTGTGCCACTGGATCCTCCTGGTGACGGCCCTATGCCCCTGGATCCTCCCGACCTGATCTTTGCACCCCCCCAAAGCCTGAACCTTGAACCGTGAACCCTGCGGGCTTCATCCTAGGTGGGAGGGAGGGTTTAGGGTTTAGGGTTTAGGGTTTAGGGAGGCAAAAAACAACCGTGAACCTTGCACTCTCGCAGACCGTATGGAAGGCTTCTGCCGGACCTGCCTTGCTGCAGCGCGGAGCCCGCGCACTGAGGGGCCATGGCGTGCTGAAGGCCTAGGGTGATTTGGTCGGACCCCGATGCCTCGAAATTTCGCAGTAGGCTTGAAGCTTTGCAGGGCAGTTTAGGTCTCGGATGGAGAGTTTAGATGAGTAATTATAGGCTGTAGCTTCAAAAAACTTGCGGTATGTCGGGCTGTCGGGATCTGAGGGCTGAGGGTCCTTGGACTCAAGATGCTGTCTGGCACAAGAGACAGAAAAGCCGGAGGAGGGAAAGGGGAGATGGAGGGGAGAGGGGTCATGATTACCAAAGTGGTTGCAGGGACATGTAGCACCAGTATTTGGGGAAGCTGCCTTCAGTGAAGACACGAGGCTTTCAAAGCGTAAGAGATATTCCCCGTGTGGAGCCTTTAGTAGAACACAGAAACTTGTAATGGTTCTATCTATAGGCATATATGCCTCAATTGCGGGATCAGGGCTCTCCCCAGTCGTCGCTGCTCCCACCCAAGGATTTGGGCGGCGGAAGCAGCCTCAGTAGCGACTTCTTCGGAGGCACGTTAGAGGTTAGGGGTTCCTGAAAGGGAATCATAAGGGTTCCTTTAAAAGGCTCTATAAGATAAGGGTTTAGGGTGATGGGCATTTTGGAGGTTTCTATGTGGCAGAGTCTTTTTCCAAGACCCGTGGTACAGGCTTTCTGTTCATCGCTACCCAAGAGCAACATCATGCCAATCAATCCCTACACCAGAGGACAGCCTAGACCCGAAGCAGCCCTATATTTACTTTTCCAAAACACACAAATTCCTGTATTACTCCAAACCAACAGATCCAGATCAACCCACATCCCCGAAACCAAAGCCTAAACGTTAAAGCATGTCGGACCTCCAACAGCCTAGTCAACAAGACACCCATCAATACCTGCATTACCCGTGCATGTGTTTTCGTATCCGTGCAGCCATCTTCGTACGCACATCTGCAGCTATATATCGATATGCGTATTTCATAAACTTGGAGGAGTCAAAAGTAATTGTTCAATTGTCTGTGTGCAGTACACAGGTGGAAATGTGGGATTTTGGATAGAGAGGTGAAGGGCTGATACTGGTCAGAACACAGGTTCCATGTTGGTCGATGGAGTCTCGGCAGGTGCGAAGGTCTTGGATAGTCTCGTGCCAGAATCTTCAAGCGCACTACACGGTTCACTTTTGAGGTTTCTCGCCCTTAACCCTGATCCAGGCACGGAGAACCTTATCTGGCAGCAGTTGCAGTCGGAGAGGTGTGTCCTGCACCGCAGCTGCAAAAGAGATGTCGAAGCAGTTCGTGAGCGGTTTCCAGTGTCTGCAGTGAAGACTTGTAGCCTTTAGGAAAAACTGTCTTAACCCTACACCTGCAGCACCTACACCTTTGCAGCTTGCTCTGTGGGTTGTAGAAGCGTCTCGACCACCCAAGAAGCGATCTGAAAGAAGGGCTTCATCAGGTCTGGCTGGGGACTGCAACAAGGGTTGTTCCCACAGGAAGGGTCGTAAACCCTAAACG